GATACTAAAAACCACAATAATAAATAAATAGTTTCTGTGCTAAAATCAAATTAAATAACAGGCCTGTTCTAAAAACACCCCATACAAAAACCCCCACTAAAACATAATCAAACTACGCCAGGCCGGCCGCACGGAATAGATGGGCCTTCAGGGCTCGGCGAAAAAGGCGCAGGTCCGCAACTGTACGTAGGTCGGGGGGTAGGTCATTCCAGAGGGCAGGAGCTGCCACGGAGAAGGCTCTCCCCCTGGGGGTCGCCAGCCGGCATTGTCTGGCCGACGGCACCCTAAGGAGGCCCTCTCTGTGGGAGCGGACTGGTTGAAGGGAGGTGTTTGGTAGGAGGCGGTCTTGCAAATACCTAGGTCCATTGCCACGGAGCGCTTTAAAGGTTGTTACTAACACCTTGAAGCGCACCCGGAAGGCCACCGGCAGCCAGTGCAGCTCGCGCAGGAGAGGTGTTACATGGGAGTATTTAGAGACCCCCAGGATCCCCCGCGCAGCCGCATTCTGAACACCTTTTAACACCTTTCCCAGAGTTGCGCGAGCTCTTACTTTCAAGCCATGGAGACTCTTCAGGCCTTCTTTGCAGACGGTGCAGCCCGTCTCGAAGGTCCAGGATTGAGGGATGTAGTTCCCCAGGTAATTCAGCTGCAGCTTTGGGGAGAGAAAGATTCCCAGAGGCTGTGTCAGAATCCAATTATATTTCATTTCTATCTACCTACTCTGATAAAAAAAAACCAATTCTTACTCTATTCTGGATTCTGTCATACTACGGAAGGGGAGGAGGGTAAGCATGGGGGGTTTATGACTCTCACTTCCTTCATTGACTACAAAGCGACCGTTTGTGGATTCTCATGGAGAGAACTAACCATAACAATGTGGCCATCGCCTTTCATCTCACTCCCCTTTGCCGGCAGTGAGGAAAAGGCGGTGGGAAATACAACGGCTGAGATCTGGGAAAAGAGGATGAGTGATCGTGCCCACGGTGCAGACTGATGGATTGAATCGCCCGGAAGAACTGTGGGGTGGGGGCTACTTGGGAACACTTTAAAACATTGAATGGTGGGAGAGGATTCCCCAGATCCTGTCTAGCATGCCTACAATCAGCTTCTCTTAATAAAGATCCCTGTTGGAAGAGACATTCCAAGAGTTCTGTCTTCTTAAGATGTAAATTGAGGTGGGTCCTGACAGGTTGTGTTCACAGTGCTGAAACACAAAACTTCCTCCCTTTGTCAATCTGATTCCGCTGTAATATTCTTTTCCATCACCCACCAGCCAGGGCCCTGTTGCTGTGGAGTGGCTGAAACTGGGCTGGCCACCTTGGCTCTTTTATGACTCGTGGGCTTCAACTCCCAGAATTCCTGAGCCAGCACGGGGGAACTATGACCCCCTCATGACTCGTGGACTTCAACTCCCAGAATTCCTGAGCCAGCATGGCTCAGCTTGGAAACCTCTCCCTTTCCCCTCAGCATGGCTGGCTGAGGAATTCTGGGAGTTGAAGTCCACGAGTCATAAAAGAGCCAAGGTGGCCTACCCCTGGACTAAGCAGCGCTTGGCCTCTAAGCTCCATCCCGAATCTCTTAAAAATTTCCTGTCTCGACAGATGGAAATCAAAGCCCAAATGAGCTCTGATCCAGAGCAAGCAGGACAGGAGTAGTGCAGTCCTTGATGTACGACCACAACTGAGCCCGAAATGTATGTTGCTAAGGGAGACATTGGTTAAGTGAGTTTTGCACCATTTTATCACCTTTCTTGCCACATCTGTTAAGGGGATCACTGCAGTTGTTAAGTTAAAAAAGAAGAGCCTGGACTGCCATCTGTCAGAAATGGTGTAGGGTCTCTGGCTTGGGCGGGTGGGTTGGACTAGATGACCTCCAAGGTCCCTTCCAACTCTTCTATTCTATTCTATTCTATTTTTTTATATATATACTGTAAGATTTTATTGATTTTTTCTTACATACATATAATAATTTTTCAATCAACCTGCTGTCTGGGTTTAAAAATACTAATACATATTTAATTCCTAATCCTTCAATCTTTCCTCTAGCCATTGATAAAATAAGTTCCAGGTTTGGTAATATTCTGTTTCTTCTTTTTCTTTCAAACTCATAGTCAATCTGTCCATCTCTGCGCATTCCAGTACTATTCTATTCTATTCTATTCTTATTCTCTCTGCTCTGCTCTACTTTACTCTATTTCTATTCTCTTCTAGTCCTGTCCTGTCCTGTCCTGTCCTGTCCAATCCTATCTAGTCTAATCACATGGTTCTTAAGTGACTCTAGTTTCCCCATTGACTTTGCTGGTCAGAAAGTCGCAAAAACAGATCACATGACCCTGGGACACTGCGACCGTCATAAATACGAGCCCATGGCGGCCAAGCGTCTGAATTTTGATCACATGACCATGGGGGGATACTACAATGGTTTTGTTGGAGGAGCCAAGATGGTGGACAGGCAGCAAAGGCTGTAAAGAGCTCCTCCAAAAGTAAAAGCTTTCTTTTCTTTTCCTTTAACTTTTTAACACTGCATTTTAACCTACTTTTAACCCATTGTTAACCTATTTTTAAACCTGTTTTAACCCTAGTCAAAGACTTTTTATAAAGGATATATGCTGGAGAGGCTAGCATTGTTTTACCTACGTTTTAACAACTCTACAAGCCAGGATTACCAAGAATGGGAAAAAGGAGAAAGAGACGGCGTGTTCACTCGGCAGCACAGAGTTCCTCCAAGCCACTGAAGCAGCAGAAAATGGAAGACTTCGCTGCAAATCTGTAAATTTTGAACGGTCACTAAATGATCTGTTGTAATTTGAGGACCGCCTGCATACACATCCTAAAAGGCTGTCTAGTTCCAGGGAGCTGGGATTGCGGCCTACCTTGGTGGGTCCGTTTCCATGAATCACAACTGGGAGGGTATCAAACGCCAGATTCCGCACTCTCACCTGGCCGTTTTCGAATTTCAGAGCCACTTCGTCTTCAGAAGCAAAGAAGCAGAGAAACAGAATGAAACAAACAAACAAACAAACACACAGACAAAAGATTCTTTCGCAGGTATGCTAGGCGAGTTAATGGTTTGGGGCAGGAGTAGGCAACCTCGGCTCTTTTATGACTCGTGGACTTCAACTCCCAGAATTCCTGAGCCAGCATGGCTCAGCTTGGAAACCTCTCCCTTTCCCCTCAGTATGGCTGGCTCAGGAATTCTGGGAGTTGAAGTCCACGAGTCATAAAAGAGCCACGGTTGCCTACCTCTGGCCTAGGCCTAGGCCGCTTTATGACTCATAGACTTCAACTCCCAGAATTCTTGAGCCGGCATGGCTAAGCACGGAAACCTCTCCTTTTCCCCTCAGCATGGCTGGCTCGGGAATTCTGGGAGTTGAAGTCCACCAGTCATAAAAGAGCCAAGGTTGCCTACCCCTGGTTTGGGGGAATTAATAAAGTGACACCAGCTTGTCATGGCTGACATTCTGCTTGCTTCACTTCCCAGCCTGCCCGCCTGACATGTGCAATGGGGGAGGGAGGAAGAAATGGAATGTGGGAGGATGTAAGTGGTGTGTGTGTGTGTGTGTGTGTGTGTGTGTGAGTGAGTGAGTGAGTGAGTGAGTGTGTCTGGGATCCACACTGTGCCGGGCAAGGAAGGAAGCAAGTCACTTCAGCTCAAGACCCACCAAAAGAATGCGGAGATGGGAGAAAGCACGCCGAAGCTCCATTCCCAAAACAAAATAAGCATTGCTCATGGGACGCTGACCGATTGCAAGTGGTGTGTGTGTGTGTGTGTGTGTGTGTGTGTGGGGCTGGGGGAAAAAGAAGAGTTAAGTGTAAAGTTTTTGCGCCAATTTGCCAGATTCTCACTTTCTTTTTCTCTGTAACCATCATGCTAAAACATGCTCTTGGTGAACTCTCGGACACGGGACTTCATTTTTGCAGCTAAGCGAGATGGATGACATTCAGCTTTTCAAAGCAGCCGTGTCTTTAGAAAACACCCACTCCAACCCA